ATTGGATGTTGTGTCTTGTGTCGTGATAATCGTGATATGGTCGTGATTTTCAATGTGAGATTGCCAGGAAGGATATGTCGTCGTCGAGTCGTTTTCGATGGTTTAAGTGCGAATATGAACCAACAAGAACACAGGACGATATTAGTCTGGAATGGACTCGATATTAGTATTTGTTTGCTCTCGGGAGTTTTGCTGTTCGAGCAGGTATGAGAAAATCTACTAGGTGAGTCGATTTTCAATTTTGTGTATGTTGTGTACCTATTTATTGTCTGCTAATTTTGTATCTACCCGCTGGGGCCTTATTTTCGAATTGAAGGAAGGGGGACGTTCTATCATTCCCCTCATGTTTCTCTCCGTCTCTCGTGATCCATGGAGATAATCACCCCACAGTTCTCTCAGTGAACTTTAAAAAATAAGGCTCCTGTACATATTACATTCACCTCTATTAGTTTCCATAACCTATTTCAATTCATATTCATTCTGTGACAAAATTTTTATCAGGATATTCGTCTCTGAAACAATCTGGCATCACTGTCTTGTTTTGACTTTAGTGAATGACGAATTGTGGATTCCCTAGGATTCCGCAGATTTCACTTGCTTCCCAGTGGCGTACTCGAATTTCGAAGCATTTTATGTTCAATTTTCAAAATGAAATTTCTCGTTAATGTGAAGACTTAGGAAAAATCAAATATTTTAGTAATTTTTGTTAGACTCTCTCATATATATGTCTTGAATATATGCACTCATTTTAAAATCAGCCTGTATAAGTGAAAATAGTTTCAATTGAAATGAAGTGGACAATAACAGAGCAAACGGAGAGGAACCCTCCATGATCTGGAAAAAAAAGAGTGAAGGAATTTGTGAAGCGAGTTGAGAATAGTGAAAACTAACTGTCTATGTGGAATTTGTGTTCTTGGTGGAGTATGGAAATTGTTTCATGAAATCATTACTAGAGGGTCCAGAACCACCTTGGTTACCCCTATGTACCATTGACATACTGCCCTTTACCTGTGAAACACCCTGTATGTACATCACGAACTGAAGGGGTTAGATTATAGCCCTAGTTTTTTGACGAACAAAAAGTAAGTTCAATCTCAACCAGGAAAAACTCTGCAAAATATTATGATTGTCTTGAAAAATACTAGCCCTATATTGATTTGGATTGGGTATACTGTTACGTTATGTGCGTTTAACTCAAATATCCAAATGTAGACGACCAGGAATACACATCACACGTAGCTAATATTCGGATACCAACACCCGACAGCTGCTGCTACCTATGTCAAATAATGGAACCTCTTTTTTGTACGATCTCAAAAAGTTTCGAGAATAACGAGCAGATTAAAAATGGACATGATATCGCAAACAGTGTGAATTTGGTTAAGAATTTCCACGCTTTAGGCGGTTAAATTCACAAGTTTTGGCAGTATGATTATGAGACTACGATGTGTATTGTGTAGTATTTTCAACTGTCAGAGTGTCTCAGTATCGTGAGGATTTCGATATCAGTTTCCAGTTTTTCAATAAGGAAGTGAGAACGTCTTGCGATTATTCAGGGATACGATAATCGGAGGTGAGTTCGATATTTCTTGTCTTCATGCTCCTTATTCTCTATCGACGAATACATGAAAATTTAAATAAATAAATATATCTTTTAGGCGTTTTTGGTTGGCGCGGAAATATGGAAATATAGTTTTCCCAAAGATTCCACCGTATGAGCTGAAATTCGACATCATCGTACCATTCTGTGTACCAAGTATTTTGGAGTTCTGGTTATGAGCTTATCCACCACGGACTTCACCCGCTAACAAGGCTGAGTACCGCATAGCGGCTTGATATACTCATCACCTACAGGTTTTGTGACAATGAACAAATTTTACTTTGACGAGCCAATATCCATGTTATAAGAACCGACACTTAGTTGCGTGATTAATTATTGTTATATAGTGTTATAGTGATATATAGTCTATCCTTCTGAGTTGTCGCCGTATATTACATCACCCTATATATACATTTTCATATAGGAGGCTGGATAAACGATCCTTATTCGACATTTTTATCCACCCTCTTCCCCTCTCGCGAGAGTTAACATAGTCACACAAGACATCCCCTCTGTAATTATTTTAGTTCTATATAGGTATAAGCAAGTATAAGTGTCGTTCCAGATTATGTAATAGTGCTTTTCCTTTTTCGCAACAGGCGCGAATATAATTTCCTGATGTGAATCACTGAAGTAGTATGTCTGATAATATATAGAATATATTTCAACTATTTTGTTTGATTTCAATCTAGGGTTACCTATACCAGAGAGGTATCGTATAGGTTCGATCTCTCTGTGAGTATTAAAAGGTTAGTTTTATAAAAATCTATTGGCGCCCTCTATTTCACCTCAATTTCGGACTCACCCCCTCTCCCTGTCCAAAAGCTAACTGTGAGCAAAACATTATTCTCAATCTTGTGAACGTAACCACCATTCAAATAACCATCATTGGTGATTCTGATATTTTACGTAACAATACATTCCCACGTAAAAAACCTCTGAGTAACATATTATTCTTCAATCAGATTATGAAAAATAAAACATCACAAAAAATGAGATTGTCTTTTACCTTGATAAACCACTTTAGTATGATGCCATCGAAATTCAAAAAATTTGAGTTTAATCCTGATTCAACATCAGATGTATCAAATTCCATGTTCTCCTCATGGATGGTTTCGAAAAAAGTGGAGGAACATCGTTTCAGGTTGCCCTATTTCAATAAGGGGCGTAGCACTCTCAGGAAGCATTTTTTGGCAAATAATTATGGAAACTTTTTTCATGGAAATAAATCCAGAAAAACCTCCTGAAATTTCACCAATGTTTTGGCAACACTCGCTTTATATTCATTCCAAAAACATTTTGACTTATGTTGTGGTGAATTATTTCATTAAAGCGTGTTTCTAGTTTTTGAAAGTTCATTGTATAAATGTAGTGATATTTATAAACTGAATCACATTGATCTTTATGTTTTTGGTTATCACCGAAAGCTTTTCATGAAATAAACTTATTTATTGGATACGAAAATATCGAGGTTTTATCAGAGAGCAAATTATAACGCGCCTTTACTGTGTGAATTCTATGTCAAATCTGATGAGAACTAGTCGATGAACGTCTCGTATCCTGCAAAGTGTAAACTGATTCTGCATCCGTCAGCGGTCTCAGCATATCCCGTGAGAACATGGTAGCTCATGATGTTTCCATACATAATCAGATTCAGTTCTACAGGGTGTTGCGAAATTCGACCGACAACGTTTGACAGGTGATAGCCCTCGTGATCTCATGCTTACTGAGATAGGGACATACGGTCTTCAAGTGATCAGTTCTCGAGACACAGGGCGTTGAAGTTAAGAAATTAAAATAGTTTTTTTGCAATTCCCCAAGAAAAATTGGATATAATGCATTCAAATTTGGTATATGGTTTCATCTTTCGATGGTTAATTTTTTGACCAGAAAGATATTCCGATAATTCCATCCAGAGGTGCGATTCAGAGGGTTGCGATAACTTTTTCTCCCATATTTTCTACGCCACTGATGAAATTTTGATCATTTCCAATTTCTCGAATTGTTTGTTCAATAATGTTGAAAAACAACATCACCTTCAACAGAGCTAAAATGAACAGTTATCGAGATATTTGACCCAAAATAGAAGTTTGCATAGTAATTTTTCATCTTCCTCAGTAGTAGAAGATTACAAAAATATTCGTTTTCCCTTCATGGGTGGGATATAAAGCTATCTTGGAATAAAACATGTTTGCTATGATGATATCATCAAGTTTGTGTTCTCAATAACCTCCTGAAACAATAAATAATGTATATGAATGTATCAATATTTCATGTCCGGTACTATCAATGATTCTATTTAGTATTTACTCACCATTGTTTCTTGCTACCTGAGAAAAATGTCATCCATAGAGATTAACATCCTTTTGTTATTGTTATTTTTTAATTCTGTGCAATGAGTTTTTCTCGCAATCATTTTGTGAAATAGAAATTTGATGAAGGTATTCAATGAATACTCTAATAATTTTGATATAATCATTAATATATTATGATGTATCTTGAATAAATCATGACTATCATGAGACATAACCTCAATTCTAGTTCTTCTTTTTTTTCCTTTTGTCTTCGATGACACGTTATTTCATGGAATGTCATCTGAAGACGTCCGTAGGCACGAAATTCTTTACATCCTCAGGCTGTCACTGGAAGAACTCATTTAGGACAATTACAGCGCTAAATTTACGCCTGATGATGTTCTTAGGTTGTAGAAAATAGAACGTCTTCTCCAGGCGTTTGGCGACACATTGACCTTAGGCGAGTGTGTGCTATCTGGGTAACCATTTCTGTTCAGCTACAGAAGGAGATCTGGATAGTATCTAATCTACTCAACACCAGAAAAATATATTTGCAATTTTCTACTACTGAAAATGATAAAATACTACTATGAAATCTTCTATTTTGGGTCGAATATCTCGAAAACTGTTCATATCAGCTCAGTTGAAAGTGATGAATTTTTTGAACAAAATTGAACAATGAATTCGTGGAACTGGAAATAATCGATATTTAATCAGTAGCGTGGAAAATATGGGGGGAAAAGTTGCCACAACCCCCTGTAGTGCACCACTGGGAAAAATATCTGGAATTGCTACCTGGTCAAAAAATGACCCATTCTAAGATGAAACCATATAACGAAGTTGAACGCATTATATTAAATTCTTCTTGAGATATTGTGAAACGACTGGTTTTATTTCTTAACTTTGACGCCATGTATCTCGAGAACTGAATACTTGAAGACCTTATGTCCCTATCTCATTGATCATGAAATCACGAGGGCTATCACTTGTCGAGCATTGTCGGTCGAATTTCGCAACACCCTGTATATTGGAATGTTCTGATCTCTGATATCAATCCAACAGCTTCTCATTAGATCGATAGAGAATTTTGATGTTATGACGTCTAGTGTCAATATATGTATGTCATGAGATGAAAGTGGGCGAAATTATCCAGTTAATTTTAGAAAATTCCTAGTCAAGCTTCGTCACAATGATATCGTTAGGAATACCTATCGCAATTGTAGTAATCTTTCTAATTTTACGTATGTTTGGCAAATTCACTTGCGAATTGAGAAAGTTGAGAGTTGGATTTCTGAAGAGACACCCCAAAATAACAGAGCTGCCAATAATCACATCTACAGGACAAATAGTCAACTGCGTAGAAGATCTTGATCTTCATTTGGACTTTCTGAGGGGCCAACTGGAAGAGAAGGAAGAAGAACTAGAGTCCTCCAGATCCAAAATATCTTCGACAGGAGAAAACCTGAAGAAATTGACAGATACTACAAACGAAGTGCGGAAATACTACTTGAAACTGAAATCCGAAATCAACAAAACCGAAAACGAATGCAAGCAACTCAAGATACAAATTGAGGACTATAAGCTGAGGCAAACAAGGCTGAGAGAAGAGGTTAATGAGAATGTTAAATATTATACTGATCTTCTAAGTGACCTTGATAGTGGAAAAACTGGCTCGAAAGGTGATTGTTCTCAGGAATTCGAAATGGTGAAGAAGTTTCCACGTGATTCTAAATTCGACCTGTTGAATAGGGTGCAAGAACAATAGGTTTCGGGCATAAATAATTATGCATGCTGTTCCAGAATAACTACCATGAGATTCAGATTCAAGAAATTCAACAGTACGTTACTAATAATAAATCTGCAATGGAATGAGTGAACGCAATATATCCATTTTCATTATAGTTTCTTCTAATTTCATTTATGTTATAGTTCACAACTTCCAATACTATTTCATTCTAGTTGTCAGGCCTGGCTTCGCACGGTTGGAGTTTCGATAAAAAAAAACATTTGTTGCACTCGTTCTAAGGTATACGCGTATGGAGAAGATGATCCTCATCGAATTTTGAGCAACTTTGGTTTTTATGTGTGGTCTGTCTGTCTGTCTGTCTGTCTGTCTGTCTGTCTTTCTGTCTGTCTGTCTGTACTCTGTGGTAATCATAAATCGATATATCTCCGGAACCCTTCGACATATCGACTTGAAATTTCGCCATCTCATTGTACTCAAAACAATGGTTTTTCCGTTTTTTTTTTTCGATTTTTCACCGGAAGTTTCTTGTAACCACTCTACAAATCACAAAAATGGTCCGATCGATATCATCTTTTTGTGAAAAAAAACTCTATCAGGAAGAGACGAAGCCTATTGAAGTTGAGCAGGGTCGGAAAATTCCAAGTGGGTTTTTCAAGGAGATTTTCCGAAACATTTTCGCTTTAAAACGACATATATCTCCTAAACCAATAGACTAAATCCAAATTCGAAAAATGAACCGTATGCCTCTTTGATAACGCAACAAATTATTATATTATCATTTCTTCGTGCATCCATCGGAAAATGGAAAAACAAATGAAAATCAAAACATCAAAATTTGAAATCCTTTCAATTCAATATATATCGAAAACAAATGAGAAAATCGAAAATTATCAATAGTGCAAAGTTATCCACTGGAACATTTCCTACAAATAATTACCCATATTTTTTTCTGTAAACCCAATAGTACATGAAATAAAGTAGGAAATATGGAGAAAAAATTTGAACGACCCATAGGGTACCATGAAGATATATTGAAAAACAAAAATTATCGATAGATGAAGCTCATCGACTTTCACTGAACCATGAAATATTTTTTCCTTTTGTTGATTGGAAGATGGAACAAAAGTGTTGAAAATCCTATTCTCAGATAATTACAAATATCTCGAAAACAACTGAAAATATCTGAAAATGTTATGTGACCAAAATTATTCCTTCTGATAGAATCTACGAAAAATCCTCATAACATTTTTCTCTGAATTCAATAGTTCGGGAGATACGATGAAAAAACTAAAAAATTCACAAGTTCCTAGATAATCACTTGCCAATAGAAAACAAAACAAAAAACAAAAGAAAGTAAAAAAGCACACTCGACTGTTTTGATTTTTTCACACAAACTACGTACCTAGCTCACTCGACTGTCTTGATTTCCCACAGAGGAAAAATATGTTGGCATTGTTTCAACTTTCTTTTAATTTCGTTCTCTTAGTCCCTATTGGTAGTCGAGTGAGCTAGGTACGTAGTTTGTGTGGAAAAACAAAGACAGTCGAGTGGGCTAAGTACGTAGTTTGTGGGAAAAATCTCCAGTTCTCTGAACTTTCATAGCGTCGTATGCACATCTTTGGTGCCCAATGATTCGACAAACGGTCTGTGGAACATAATTCAACAATATTAATATTGAGTTCCTAGAGGAGAGTAGATAATGAATTTTCAATATTATTGTACCATCCCCCCAGATAGCACAAGAGATACCTCTTGGAATATTGGAAAATCCTCAGAATTATCTGAAAATATTCTTGAATATTTGTAGAATATTCTCTGAATATGCAAATGGCTATTCTTCAGATATTCATAGAATATTCCCAATAGAATATTGTTTTTTCGATGTTCCTGGAATATTTCAATAAACCTATTTTGAAATTGTATCATCTACTCTATTAGTGAATGTTACTGTCTTACGAAATATTGATAGTACCACGTAGTCAACTGATCTTTCAGAATAATTGATTCAATTCTGGTTTCGATTCAATGTATTCTGAAAATTTTCATTCCTACTTGGTAGACTACTTAGAGCCTCTCTGTTACAGATTTCATGGAGCTGCGAGACACTGATATTCGTGAGAGAACATCCTGTACATGTTTTTGATTCGATTGCATCTGGTTGACTTGACTTGATGGAAGTCAATTATTTTCAGTTTATTTTCAAAATGTTCAGGTGGAATGTCAAATAAGATCTGAAATAAAAACTTCACAAACGATAAGATTTCCACAAAATTTATTAAACAAACGACATGTTCCGCTAACACATTAGTTACCTACAGACACGACAAACCTCCATCTTCGGAAATTAGGCAGAACATCCACATTGAAATCACGGTATACCGGACAAACTTGAAAGAGTTTATATCAAATACATATTATTACTTACTAAGAAAACAAATTCAACAGTGGTGAACTATTGAGGTCTAATAGATCATTAAGTAAAATGTCGAAATTTTTTAATTTGTTGATTTCTAATGATTCAAAATGATTGAGTTTCAGTCCTTTATTTTCTACGTGCAGAATTGCGGAATTATCATCAAAACTATGGTTTTCTTCTGATATATGGTTGGCGTATGTTGAATTTGTTTTCTTTTTCATAAAATTCATCTCATGTTCATGAATGCGCTGATTAAACGTACGACCTGTCTGACCAATATATACCTTAGGACAAGATCCACATTTGAGTTTGTATACCCCTGATTTTTGGAATTCAGAAGTTTTGTCTTTATTATTCTTGATAAACCGTCCCAACGTGTTATTTGTTCTATATGTCACTTTTAAGTCTTGTTTATGTAGGAATGAAGCTAATTTCTCAGTCGAAGATCTGAAGGTTCAAGATCGTAATTTTAGTTCTTATTCAATTGTATCATGTACTATTCACCAGTAGTTTAGCGTTAAGCCTTCAACAAGCAGATTCGCGACAGGAACATGGTTGCTTCCGTCAATGCCATCTAACTGATCTGTATTGATTATTCATTTGGACCTGGTGTCTGTTATTGCAGCGCTTGAATCGGATTGATCTCTCATGGTCTGGAATAACTAGTCGAACTACCAACCCGCATTCCAGATGTCAACAACCAGTCTGCAAATACACTAGATCTCGTTTTCACCAGCAATCCTGATCCATATAGAAAAGAAGTTCGTGTGCCACTTGGAAACTCTGACCACACCCTCATCTCATCAACCTGCTCTTTCCATGTACCATCCAGCACCACAGTTCCCACCCGTCTCATGTGTCATTACAATTCGGCCGACTGGAAAGGGTATGTTTTTTTCAGCGTTTCCATTGAAGAGAGTTGGTTTCTCCTCAGCAGATCAAACACGATGTGCTGAGATAATATCTGAAATCATCATGTTGGGGATGCAAACCTACATACCAGACACTGCAAGGAGAACATCTTCCGATTAGGCCTGGTTCAGTAGAAAATGCTCTAGAGCTGTCGTTTCCAAACAGGCAGCATTCCATCGATTGCGAAAAACTCCAGGCCCTGAGATTAGAGCAGGATATGTCGAGGCCAGAGGCATATGCAATAGGACAATTCGATCATCAAAGGATGCTCATAATGCCATGATGAGATCAAAACTTATTGGATGTCCTAACAGATCCAGTTCATTTTGGTCTTCTGCCAAAGCTGTTGAAAGGAACTTCACTTCTAGCTCGTTTTCTCCTCTAACCAAGGAAGATGTAACACTAGTCATAACTGCCTAGGAGGAAGCCAACATTTTTGTGCATTCATATGCTGGAAATTCTATTCTGAACTCATCGGGAAAACAACCTCCAAACATAATGCCAATTTCATATGCCCGAGATCACCTCTCGCCAACGTACTATAAGGAAGATCTCATTGGATCTCAACACCAACAAAGCTTTTGGCTCTGACGGAATCTCACCGATTGTTCTCATGAAATTTCTTCCCGAAATAACACCTGTTCTCTGCAAGTTGTTCAACTACTCTTACAAATTGGGGATATTCCTGTACAACTGAAAAATTGCGAGAGAACAACCAGTTCCAAAAAAGGCAAAAAGGCCCTACCTAGCTACTACAAACCGATCGCACTGCTATCTTTTATTTCGAAGATCATAGAGAAAGCTATCAACATCGAGCTCATGAAATACCTGGAACATTCAGGTATCATCAACGATAGGCTTCCGTCATCAGGGATCGACTAGTGACCTGCTCGCTTACGTCTCACATATACAGCAGCTACCTATTGAAAAATATGGTGAAACCTTAGCCGTGGCCTTCGATATCTCCAAGGCATTCGATCGAGTCTGGCAACACGGACTCCTCGCCAAGCTACCATCTGATGGCTTGCCTATCCAGCTATTTTTTCTGATAGCTAGTTCTCTCCCAAACAGGTATCTCCATGTAGTGGTCGACGGAGTTTCATCTAACTCTTTTATCATGAATGCTGGTGTTCCGCATGGATCAATTCTAGCACCAACACTATTTCTACTTCATATCAAAAATTTGTTGAAAGCGATTTACTTCATGTCCAGTACACAGCTTCGCGGATAATAGTACCCTCCATACCGCCTTCTTTTCCAGAGCTCCAATACGAGCCAGGCGATTCAGAAACGGACGAGAGACGAATGTTGACAACATGAATATGGTCTTGGCAACAATTTTTCGAATGAAGATTCAATAACTTGGTAGATCTCAATGCAAACAGAACACAAGCTTGCCTTTTCTCTTGAAAAGCCGATCTCACTGTACCCAACATAAGCTTGTCAGGAGAAACCATATGTTTGAAGACATCTATTTTGATACTTGGTATTACTATCAGTGATAACGTTTCTTAGGAAAATCACGTGAGATCAATTGCTGAAAGCGCATTCCAATTACTTGAGACTATAATCAGCCTCGTAGGACAGATGGTTTTTGAGATATCGGCGCTCTAAGTCAGCTTTTCGCTTTTTTGCCAATTGGAGCACTCCGCTAGACTACTACGTCTCCATTTTCGGAATTTTCCCGATTTACATCACAGATTCGTTTATCTCGATATCGAATTAGTCTATGTGAACTTTTTCAGATCCCTAATAGGCCAAATAATAATTTTCATTTTCTCACCTAAGACTTCCATACGATATAGTCACCGAGCCATCTTCGGACG